ATGTTAAATGAAAGAAGTGCGTTATAACCTGAGTCGGCGTCCACAGCCCTTATCTTGGCCACAAAATATCCCGCTTCAGCAGAATATGGAACGTTTTCTGTAGTAACGGAACCGTGATCAGAATAAGGAGGCAGGAGACCAGGACAGTTATCATTTTCGTCAAGAATAAAAACGTTTACAGTCAAGTTGCTGCTTTGTGGCGGGACGCCAGAATCAGTGGCTTGAACTTGAAATTGAAATGTTTTCATTTCTTCATAATCAAAGGACTGCATACTATAAATGTCACCACTAACAGAGTTCACGTTTATTCTACTGGAAACGGGCACTCCCTTGGTAGGACTTTCCAATAGATTATAGGTTATCTGTGCATTTTCGTTTAAATCCGGATCAAATGCGGATATGGTCGACACAGCAGCTCCTACTGGGTTGTTTTCCTTCACATACATGTCAATAACAGATTCTGGAAAGTGTGGCGCGTTGTCATTCACGTCAGACACGTGTACAACAACGACGCTGGTGCTGGAGAGAGGCGGAGTCCCTTCGTCTCTCGCCGTGATCGTGACATTGTACTGAGAACAGTTCTCTCGGTCCAGAGGTCCACTAATTACTAATGAGTAATAGTTCTTATACGAGGACTGCAGTTTAAATGGGACAGAGGCGGAAACTTCGCAGTGAACTTTCCCATTCTTACCGCTGTCTTTATCTACTACGGTAAACAAAGCAACTACTGCTCCTACGCCAGCGTCTTCTTTCACAGTGTTCGAAAGAGATGTCACTGCTATTTCAGGCGCGTTGTCGTTGACATCTATGACTTCAACTAGGACTTTACAATGTGCCGCCATTGGAGACTGTCCTCTGTCTTGGGCCTGAACACGAATTTCATAAACACTGTTCTCCTCATAATCAATGTCCCCTTTAACTGTAATTTCTCCGCTGATGGCATTGATTGTGAATTTATCCCAAATGTCTTTCTGCCCATGACTACTGAAAGCATAGACTATTTCACCATTTTTGCCCTCATCAAGATCGGTCGCATTAAGTTTTATTACTAATGTCCCATAAAGGACATTTTCATAGACACGGACTTTATAGACTGGACTGCTGAACACTGGAGTGTTGTCATTGCTATCTAAAATATTCACTACAATCTCCAAACTTCCAGATTTGGGTGGTTTGCCTCCATCAACAGCAGTCAGCACAAGACGAATCACAGGCTGTTTCTCTCGGTCTAAAGCTTTCTGCAGCACTAACTCAGCAGACACGCTCTGCTCACCACCACTCTGTACATCCAGAGAGAAGTGCTCATTCGGACTGAGCTTGTATGTTTTTATAGAATTACTGCCTACATCTGCGTCAAAAGCACTGAGCAGTGGAAATCGGACTCCTGGAAACGTTAATTCCGAAACATTTATATACTGCGATTCCACAGAAAATGCGGGTGAATTGTCATTAATATCAACTATGTTTATTTCAACACGATATAAATTCAAAGGAAAATTAACAATAGCTTCTAAATTTAAAGAACATGACGGTATGTTGGGACACAGTTCCTCTCTATCTATGTTCTCATTAACAAAAAGAATGCCAGTTTTAAAATTTACCTCGAAATATTTCCTCTTAGCCACAGATACAATGTGAAACATACGCGATTCCAGTTCTTGGACATTGAGATTCAAATCCTTAGCGATATTCCCGACAAAGGTTCCCTTCTTCACCTCTTCTGAAACAGTGTAGATGATTTGTCCAGAAATCTGATCCCGAAAACGAATGAGCAGAAGGAATAAAAAACGAATAAAAACGGACACCTTTCGATCTGACAAAAACATTTTAAAATGTTCCTCGGTCCAGAAACGCAATCCAAGATGCACGAATACCTACATGTGAGTATCTCGAGTATATTCAGTCGCGAAAGAAAAGGACTGTAAAAACAGCCTGTCATTTGTGTCTAATACGTATGTTGCGTTTTACTCTAACAAAAGCTTCCTGGGATTTTTTTTTTTCATTAAAGGAGGAGTCCGTACAAACGGATTTTTCTGACTTTGCTGGTGAACACCGACACCGTGTGGGCACGCCAGGAAGCAGTACGAAACTGCCATAGAGTTTAGGTTCTACTGGAAATATTATATTCGTCACAACGTTTTAGACTCCAGAACAATGATAAATTCTAACATATTCGATTTAAATATCACATAGAGCATAGTGCCTATAGCGCATTATTCCTAACTACGTTTTGAACGGGCTACTAAAGGAATATTTCACTTACAACTCGATTTTACTGTCTTAATTTTGATTAAATGGCAAGTTTAATATAGACAGAATAGCATGTTTAAATGTTGAGAAAAAAGTGTTACTCCAACCTATTCGAGGTATTCATTATTCTTGACAATAAAACCCTCACTAGCAGAATAGCACAGCTACCAGTGTAACATTTTTTCGCTTTGTCATTTTTTTCAGAGTACAGGACCCTTTCCCCACTTAGTCCATTACCGAATATTTCCAGTCGTGTGTGCAGTTTAAGGAGAAAGCAAGCAGATCACACACTGTACGCAGAAAAAAAGGGGAAAAAAGGAACATTCCATGACCTCAGGACTGTGACATGACACATTTTAAAACACTCAAACAATCAAACTAAATAAATCACATTATTCATGAATATAAAACTTCGCACATATTTGCAAAAAAGGTAAGACGCGACTAGGAAAGATACTGTATTAGCGTAGCACTCAGCAACACATTGTCAAGAGACTTCTCTCTATAATAATTTTTATATATTATGTTTTAACTTTATAATTTCATGTTTAGGACGTTCTATGCACAACTCAATCATGACAGGTATTTTGGAATAGAAAATTAGGATTTCTACAGTATTCCTACTACTCAGGAAGTCCACAATCACTGTAACTGATATAACTGTACGTTCTTACCTCAAAGTTTCCGATATTCCTTCTTAACGTGTCTGTTTCATTAATACTGATAAGTTCCCCATCGCAAGGGGGAATTGGTGCGTTTAAAACCACAACGTCACTCTTCAGTGTGTCTGAGCTAAAACACACGTCATACTGCTGTGTAGTTTTAGAATAAGACCAGCTGCCGTCGGGGTGCGCGGTGATCACGGGACGACTGTACTTGCTGAAGCGGTCATTTCTCCTGTGGCATTTAATGATGATCAAACTGAGGAGAGTCAGTAAGAATATAACTGACACGGAAACAATCGCTATGAGTAAGTACAAATTCAAATCTGAAAAACCGTTCTCCTTTGTAGACATTTGTTTGAATTCCCTTTGCATTTCAGCACCATTTTCTACAGGAATGACATCAAGGGACACAGTAGCCGACAAGGACGGCTGTCCATGGTCAGAAATCAAAATGGCCAAAGGATGTGTTTTCAAGTCATTTTCATTCAAACGTCGTTTGGTTCTTATTTCTCCAGTGCTGGTGCTGATTGTGAAGAGATCGGTCCTTTTGGGCTCAATAATGTGATAAGAAAGTAGCGCATTGTAACCAGAGTCGGCGTCTACAGCCCTGATCTTGGCCACGAAATAACCGGCTTCAGCAGAGAGCGGAATGTTCTCGGTATTAACGGAGCCGTGATCAGAATAAGGAGGGAGAATCCCAGGACTGTTGTCGTTTTCATCAAGGATGTAAACGTTCACGGTCACGTTGCTGCTTTGTGGAGGGACACCTGAGTCAGTGGCTTGAACTTTAAACTGGAATGTTTTCATGTCCTCATAATTAAATGACCGCATGCTGTAGATATCCCCACTAATTGAATTCACGTTTATTATAGTAGAAACAGGGATTCCCTTCGTTGAAGTCTCCAATAAAGCATATGTAATCTGAGCATTCTCGTTTAAATCGGGATCAAAAGCAGACAATGTGTGTATAAGAGCTCCCATTGCATTGTTTTCTTTGACATACACTTCAGGAACAGGTTCAGAAAACCGTGGAGCGTTATCATTTACATCGGAAACGTGCACCACTATAACACTTGTGCTCGACAGGGGTGGCGCCCCTTCGTCTTTTGCTGTAATGGTGACATTGTATTGAGAAACGCTCTCTCGGTCTAGTACTCCGCCAACTACCAATGAATAGTAGTTTTTATAGGATGACTGAAGTACAAAAGGAACGCCGTCAGAAACTCCGCAATGTGCGTTTCCATTTTTACTTCCATCTTTATCCAAAATAGTGATTAGAGCAATCACTGTGCCCCTTTTGGCATCTTCCTTGACGGTGTTCAAAAGTGAAGTTACTTTTATTTCTGGGGCATTGTCATTAACATCTATTACTTCCACCAGCACTTTACAATGTGAAGCCATTGGAGGTTGGCCTTTGTCCTGGGCCTTGACACGAATTTCATGAACATTACTTTCCTCGTAGTCGACATTACCTTTAACCGTTATCTCACCGGTTTCAGGGTTTATATCAAAAATATCAATTACATCTTTTTGTCTCTGATTACTAAATGAATACACTATTTTGCTGTTTATTCCTTCGTCCACGTCTGTTGCATTAAGCTTAATTACCAAAGTACCAAATGGCACGTTTTCGTCTACCTGGACTTTGTATACTGGACTGGTGAAAAGAGGACTGTTATCATTTATATCTAACACATTCACTTGGACCTGCAGTGTCCCAGACCTGGGTGGCTTTCCGCCATCTACAGCTGTCAGGAGGAGACTGATAATAGGCTGTTTCTCCCGATCTAAAGCTTTGTGCAGAACTAACTCGGCAGACACGCTCTCTTCTCCAGGGTTCTGTACATCCAAGGAGAAATATTCATTAGGACTGAGCCTGTATGTATTTACAGCGTTTGTACCAACGTCTGCATCATCAGCACTGAGCAAAGGGAATCTTGCTTCCGGGAGAGTAGACTCCGCAATATTTATATTTTGCGATATTGTAGGAAAGACGGGCGAATTGTCATTCACATCTAAAATATTAATTTGAATACGGTATAAACTCACAGGAGCATTCATAATCGCCTCTAAATTTAAAAAGCAAGCGGACGTATCAGGACACAGTTGCTCCCTGTCAATTTTTTCTTTTACATAGAGAATACCAGTTTTTAAATTTACCTCAAAATACTGCTTATCGGACCCGGATACAATCTGAAACATACGCGACTCCAGTTCCTGAATATTTATATTCAAATCCTTAGATATATTTCCAACAAAGGTCCTTTCGTTTACTTCCTCTGAAACAGAATACACAGTCAGTCCGCAAACAGCACCCCAGAGAAAAAACAAAAGACATAATGAAGAATACATCCAGATAATTCCTTTTTGCCCTGCTGAAATCATGTCTTCGTCAGTCCTTGTAAAGCCATCCACTCCAAAACCTTCTTGCTTCGAAACCGCCCGAGTTTAACAATTACGTTTGCAACATAAAAGCAAGATACGACTTGTACTGTATGTGCCACAGACCGTCTTACTCTAACAAAGCCTACAGTGATCCGCTGCGCTCTTTCAGTTTAAGGAGGAGCCCTGTAAATCTAAAATCCTTTTTTTCCTTCCTTGGTCAACAGCGACACTGTGTGGAAGCTAGAGCCAATCAACAATGACCACAAGAGTCCTAAGCACACCTGCTGTTTTCAACTGAAATAAAATATATAAGTACTGGTCTTAAAGTGGCATATTTAGGTGCTCATATTAATCTATACTGCTTCATAATTAACGATTAATTTGCATCTGATACAACCTCTCATGCTTTTTTAGGGCAATGCAGATAATTGCACTCTATATTTCATTATATACATTTACATATTTAATATATACTATCTATACAGGGCTAATATTTAGTGTAATGTTATTATGGTACTTATGACAAAAATAAGCTTTGGATAGCTGTGATTTCTGATAGCAATTTCAACCGAGCATACATTTTGTTCATGTGGAACTTGTAACATGTTCATGGGACTACTTACTAATAATATGCATAATTATATTTAAAAATGTATGCAAGTCTCCATTAGTCTGCCTCTGCAAAAACAAAACATTTTTGTCAGCTTATTAGGAGGAAAACGAGGAGCAGAAGGTCAATTCTACGGGATCCTGATGAATGCTTTTGGGTCGCGTCTCTAGTGTCCGCGCACTTTAGCAAAGCTGTGTTCCTTCTATTGATGCAGTTTATCCGGGCTAATAAATAGGAACCCTTTGGTACAACTTACGGTATAAACTGCAGTAGTAGGATTTTAAGGTTCTTTCTAGTTCAGTTCAATCAAGACAATAGAATTGAATCTCCTATTTAATGAGCAATTTTGAGGTAGGAAACACAATCAGTCTTCCTTCATAAACAATCTCACAAAGTAAATCGAGAAAATTATGCACGTCAGAATTGTAACAAAAGAGAGGTTCACCTGTGAAATGTATATATCAATAGCACGCTTACCTCAATATGCAGCGTCCCTGCCCGAGACCTTTTGAACGAGTCGTTCCCAGTTAAGCTAATAAGTTCACCGTCTGCAGGCGGAAAGGGACCGTTAAAAACCACGACGTCACTCTTCAGTGTATCAGAGCTGAAGCAGACGTCATACTGCTGAGTACTTTTAGAGTACGACCAGCTTCCGTCAGGGTGCGTGGTGATCACTGGGGGGATATAGCTGCTAAAGCCGCTATCTGTCCTGTAGCATTTTACAGCTATGAACATGATGAGGCTCACTAAAAATATAACAGATACCGAGACAACGGCGATCAGCAAGTAGAGATTTAGATCTGAAAAACCTTCTTTCTTCTTCGGCAACTGTTTCAGTTCCAATTGCATTTCATTTGTACTTTCAACAGCTACAACCTCAACAGATACAGTGGATGAAAGTGGCGGTTTCCCGTTGTCAGTAATCAAAATGCTCAAGGCATGAGTTTTTAAGTCATTTTCAGATAAGCGTCGCTTTGTTCTTATTTCCCCCGTATTGCTGCTTATTTTGAAGAGATCCGTCCCTTTGGGTTCGGTAATGTAATAC